TCTGTTCAGGCTATACGGGGGATCTTTGTGTGTCTGTACGTGCGAGTGTGCATGTGTCTGTGTGTATGTGAATGTGCGGGTTCGTGTGTCTGTGTGTGTGAATGTGCATGTGTGTCTGTGAGTGTGTCTGTACGTGCGAGTGTGCGTGTGTCTGTGTGTATGTGAATGTGCGGGTGCGTGTGTCTGTGAGTGTGTCTGTGAGTGTGTGCGTGTCTGTGTGTGTGTCTGTGAGTGTGTGCGTGTCTGTGTGTGTGTCTGTGAGTGTGCGTGTGTCTGTATGTGTGTGAGTGTGCGTGTGTGTGTCTGTATGTGTGAGTGTGTCTGTATGTGTGTGTGTGTGTCTGTGTGTGTGTCTGTACGTGTGAGTGTGCGTGTGTGTGTGTCTGTACGTTTGAGTGTGTCTGTGTGTGCGTGTGTGTCTGTACGTGTGAGTGTGTGTCTGTGCGTGTGTGTGTTTGTACGTGTGAGTGTGTGTGTCTGTGCGTGTGAGTGTGCCTGTGTTTGTTTGTACGTGCGGCTGTGTGTGTGTCTGTGAGTGTGTGTGTCTGTACGCGTGACTGTGTGTGTCTGTGCGTGTCTGTGTGTCTGTATGTGTGTGTGTGTCTGTATGTGTGAGTGTGGAAGTTTGTGTTTGTCTGTGTGTGAATGTGCCGGTGTGTGTGTGACTGTGCGAGTGTGTCTGTATGTGTGAGTGTGCGAGTGTGTGTGTCTGTACGTGTGAGTGTGCGGCGGTGTGTGTCTGTGCATGTGTGTCTGTACGTGTGAGTGTGCGAGTGTGTGTGTCTGTACGTGTGAGTGTGCGGGGGTGTGTGTCTGTACATGTGTGTCTGTACGTGTGAGTGTGCGAGTGTGTGTGTCTGTACGTGTGAGTGTGCGGGGGTGTGTGTCTGTACATGTGTGTCTGTACGTGCGAGTGTGCGTGTGTCTGTGTGTATGTGAATGTGCGGGTGCGTGTGTCTGTGTGTCTGTGCGTGTGTGTCTGTACGTGCGAGTGTGCGTGTGTCTGTGTGTATGTGAATGTGCGCGTGTCTGTGTGTGTGTGTGAATGTGCTTGTGTCTGTGTGTGTGTGAATGTGCATGTGTGTCTGTGCGTGGCCCCTTGCGCGTTAATTCATCAATTGACTCTCGCTCGTTAATTAACGATTGCGAAGCGTGTAAACAGATTTAAATTTAAACACACACGCACAGATACTCCCGTTTAGCCGAACAGACTGTTAAGGGCAGGCCGCTGTTAGCGAGTACCTATTAAGGCTGGAACGGTGCGCGTGGCCAAAAACGCAACTGCTGATGCTTGTGAACACACACCACGGCATCATGTGATAATTTAAGGCTGAGTCGACCTAAGGGAGGCCCTTGACAGTTTAGATAGCAATTAGCCTCCGGTGATGATATGGAACTCTTGCAGATAGAGATCACCCGGACAGGCAAACTGTCGACCGGGGCAAGTTCTGTCACCGAGAACCTATGAAGGCCGAGGAGGGGCGGGGGGGGGGGGGGTTGTTTGGCGATAGCACCACGCCCGGCCGCCTTTGTCTCCCCTGTGCTGGAGGTGTCACACGTAACCGGGTACTCAGTTAATGCTGAGCCGATTATCGGGGCCAGTTCTGATCGATGTGGCCACTGAAGTTGGCCTTCATTGGAAATCGAACATTGGGTCGACCAAAGTTCTCAGCGCAGTGCGCTAACCATTGCGCCACCGCTCCCCACAAAGACAAAGATCCCCCCCCCCGTGTAGCCTCAACAGACTGTAGGGGCAAGTGCTGTTAGCGAGCACGAGGGGATGGGTGGCCAGAACCACGTCCGAACGCCTTTGTCTCACCAGTGGCGATGTTTACACACCGCACCAGCTAATTATTTGAGGCTGAGTCGATCTATGGGAGGCCCAGACAATCGTCACCAGCGGTGGCCGTGAGCACACACACACACTCACACGGCTCCCCACAGACCAATAAACACACGCATATGCACGCATACGCAAACATGAACATACGCTAACACTTATAGACTGCACGCTTGGGCATGCAGTATATATTCTCACTCACTCACTTGCACCTCCACACTCGCACACTCGCATACCTCAGGCTAGGTGTGCATCAACATATCCGCAGATATACTCCCTTACACACACGCAGATACCCTCCCAACCATCTCTACACACACTCCACACACACACACAGACACACACTCCAAACACACACACTCCACACACACAAACACATGCACCTCCCAGCCATTCACAACACCTACACGTCCACACACACTCCACACAGACACTCCACACACACTCCACACACACACACACAGACACACACTCCACACACACACTCCACACACACACACTCCACACAGACACTCCACACACACACACTCCACACACACACACACTCCACACACACACACACTCCACACACACATACACACTCCACACACACACACACTCCACACACACACACTTTACACACACACTCTACACACACACTCCACACACACACACACTCTACACACACACACACTCCACACACCCTCCACACACACACCCCACACACACTCCACACACACACACTCCACACACACGCACACTCCGCACACACACACACACACTTCACACACACACACTCCACACACACACACTCTACACACACACACACTACACACACACACACACTCTACACACACACACACACACTCTACACACACACTCCACACACACACACTCTACACACACACACACTCCACACACACACACACTCCACACACACTCCACACACACACTCCACACACACACACCACACACACACACACTCCACACACACACACACTCCACACACTCCACACACACACACACTCCACACACACACTCCACACACACACTCCACACACACTCCACACACACACACTCTACACACACACACTCTACACACACACTCTACACACACACTCCACACACACACTCTACACACACACACGCTACACACACACACGCACTCCACACACTCCACACACGCACTCCACACACTCCACACACACACTCCACACACTACACACTCCACACACACACACAATCCACACACACACTCCACACACTCCACACACACACTCCACACACACACACACACTCCACACACTCCACACACACACACTCCACACACACTCCACACACTCCACACACTCCACACACACACTCCACACACACACTCCACACACACTCCACACACTCCACACACACACTCCACACACTCCACACACTCCACACACACACTCCACACACACACCACACACACTCCACACACTCCACACACTCCACACACACACTCCACACACACACTCCACACACACACACACGCTCCACACACACTCCACACACACAGACTCCACACACTCCACACACACACACTCCACACACACACACACTCTACACACACACACACACTCCACACACACACTCCACACACACTCACACTCCACACACACACTCCACACACACACTCCACACACACACACACTCCACACACACACTCCACACACACACTCCACACACACACACTCCACACACACTCCACACACACACACTCCACACACACTCCACACACACACACTCCACGCACAATCCACACACACTCCACACACACACACTCCACACACACACACCACACACACGCTCTACACACACACACTCTACACACACACACTCCACACACACACCCTCCACACACACACACTCCACACACACTCCACACACTCCACACACTCCACACACACACTCCACACACACACACACACTCCACACACACACACTGCACACACACTCCACACACTCCACACACTCACTGCACACACACACTCCACACACTCTACACACACACACTGCACACACACACGCTCCACACACACACACTCCACACACTCACTCCACACACACACACTCCACACACACTCCACACACACTCCACACACACACACTCCACACACACACACCACACACACGCTCTACACACACACACTCTACACACACACACACACTCCACACACACACCCTCCACACACACACCCTCCACACACACACACTCCACACACACTCCACACACTCCACACACTCCACACACACACTCCACACACACACACACTCCACACACACACACTGCACACACACTCCACACACTCACTGCACACACACACTCCACACACTCTACACACACACACTGCACACACACACGCTCCACACACACACTCCACACACTCACTCCACACACACACACACTCCACACACACTCCACACACACACACACACTCCACACACCCACACCTCGACACGAGGGTCAATGTCTCCCTGGTCGACTGGGGTAGTCGTAGGCACTTGACGATCGCCAACCTTCATATCGAGTGGTATACTGGATGTGGTGCGCCGAGCGCGGAGGTAGTTTCCAAGTCAGAGAGACTCGGATTGAACCCAGATCTGCACCACCAACACGCCACCGATCCTCCTGCTCTCCCCTCCTCCTCCATCTCCCCCCTTTCTCTCATCTCCTCCTCCGGTCTCACCACCACCCCACTCCTCATGTCCTCTCCTCCATCTCCCTTCTCGGTCTCTTATCACCACACTCCACTATGCTCCTCCTCCATCCTCTTACTCCTCCTCCATCATCCTCCTCCATCCTCATTCTCCTCCATCCACCACCACCCTCCTCCTCATCCTCCTCCTCCTCCTCCATCCTCCTCTTCATCCATCCTCCTCCATCATCATCATCATCCTCCTCCTCCATCCTCCACCACCACCACCCTCCTTCATCCTCCTCCACCACCACCCTCCTCATCCTCCTCCACCACAACCCTCCTCCATCCTCCACCCTCCTCCATCCTCCTCCATCCTCCGTCCTCCACCCTCCTCCTCATCCTCCTCATCCTCCAACCTCCTCCTCCACCCTCCTCCTCATCCTCCTCCTCCATCCTCCATCCTCCTCCACCACCACCACCACCATGCTCCACCACCACCCTCCTCTCACCTTCCCCGTCGTGCGCCGTCGTGCTCAGCCCCTTCTCGGGCGACTCGGCGTCGTCGTCCGTCTTCTCGAGGTCGATGGTGGCGTCCTCCTCCTCCTCCTCGTCCTCGCTCTTGGCGCGCGGCGCCCACGTCACCTTGTTCTCCTTCTTGAGACGCCGGCGAGCGTTGGCGAACCACGTGGAGACCTGCGTCAGCGTCATCTTGGTGATGATGGCCAGCATGATCTTCTCGCCCTTGGTGGGGTACGGGTTCTTGCGGTGCTCGTTGAGCCACGCCTTGAGCGTCGCCGTCGCGTCCCGGGTCGCGTTCTTGCGGTAGGCCGCGTCCGAGTAAGGGTAGGGCCCCAGCGGGGTGCCGTAGGGGTGGTAGGCGGCAACACCTCCGGCAAGACCTGGGCCCGTGGGGTCGTACGGAGATGCCTGGGGGCGAGTAGGGGGGGTGAGAGTTGGGGGGGCGGGTAGCGTAAGGAGAGTTCGATTTCTCACCCACGGCCGCCTCGCCAACGCCTGCGACGATTGTCTGGGTCAGGTTCGGACTCAAATGGGCACCAGGTGCGGTGCCTGAACATCGCCGCTAAGGGAGACAAAGGCGGCCGGGCGTTGGTTTTCTGGCCACCCATCAGGTCGAGTGCCGTGCCGGCCTTCATAGGTGCTACTCGCTCGCTGACCGCACTTGGCCCAAAAGTTTGTGAATGTTATACGGGTGATCTTTGTCTCTGTGTGAGCGGCGGTGTGTGAGCGTGAGAGGGCACAGGGTGCCGGGCGGATAAAACGCAGCGAGGTGCACAGGTGGTGCATCTGTCAGTCATCTCAGCCAGTCACATCCGATGGCACTCGGTTCTGTCCCCTCATCTCGACACTTCCCCTGGCCTCAATGTGCACGTAGCCTGGCACAAGCGCTGTGGTGTTGTGTGGTCGAGAGTTTAAGAGAGAGAGACAGATATGTGTTTTATTTTTTAGGATTGAATGTGAGACAGAGATTAATAAGTGTGTGTCTGTGTGATAGAGAGTATACCACAACGGACCTCATGGGTGTGTACGCTCACAGCACTTGCCTCAAAACTATGTTTGGGCTATGAGGGGGATCTTTGCCTTGTGTGTGAGAAAGTGAGTGTCGGTGGACGTGAGAGTAAGTTAAGGGTGGTGTGGGAGTGTGTGACGTAGAGTGAGTGTGAGGGTGAGTGTGACGTGGAGTGAGTGTGAGGGTGAGTGTGACGTGGAGTGAGAGTGAGGGTGAGGGTGTGGGTGTGGGTGAGGGTGTAGGTCAGGGTGTGGTTGAGGGTGTGGGTGAGGGTGTGGGTGAGGGTGTGGGTGAGAGTGTGGGTGAGGGTGAGGGTGTGGGTGAGGGTGAGGGTGAGGGTGAGGGTGTGGGTGAGGGTGAGGGTGAGGGTGTGGGTGTGGGTGTGGGTGAGGGTGAGGGTGAGGGTGAGGGTGTGTGTGAGGGTGAGGGAGTGGGTGAGGGAGTGGGTGAGGGTGAGGGTGTGGGTGACAGTGTGGGTGTGGGTGAGAGTGAGTGTGAGGGTGTGGGTGAGGGTGAGGGTGAGAGTGAGTGTGTGGGTGAGGGTGTGGGTGAGGGTGTGGGTGTGGGTGTGTGTGAGGGTGAGGGTGAGAGTGAGTGTGTGGGTGAGGGTGTGGGTGAGGGTGCGAGTGAGGGTGAGGGTGTGTGTGAGGGTGTGAGTGAGGGAGTGTGTGAGGGTGTGTGTGAGGGTGTGGGTGAGAGTGAGTGTGCGAGTGAGGGTGAGGAGGTGGGTGTGGGTGAGGGTGTGAGTGAGGGTGTGTGTGAGGGTTTGTGTGAGGGTGTGGGTGTGGGTGAGAGTGTGGGTGAGGGTGTGGGTGAGGGTGTTGGTGAGGGTGTGCGTGAGAGTGTGGGTGAGGATGAGGATGTGGGTGAGGGTGTGGCTGAGGGTGTGGGTGAGGGTGACAGTGTGGGTGAGGGTGAGAGTGAGGGTGTAGGTGAGGGTGTGGGTGAGAGTGAGGGTGAGTGTGTGGGTGAGGGTGAGAGTGAGGGTGAGTGTGTGGGTGAGGGTGTGGGTGAGGGTGTGGGTGAGAGTGAGGGTGAGGATGTGGGTGAGGGTGTGGGTGAGGGTGAGGGTGTGGGTGAGAGTATTTGTGTGGGTGTGTGAGTGTGGATGAGTGTGTGGGTGAGTGTGTGGGTGTGTGAGTGTGGATGAGTGTGTGGGTGAGTGTGTAGGTGAGGGTGTGGGGTGGGTGAGGGTGTGAGTGAGGGTGTGGGGTGGGTGAGGGTGTTGGTGAGGGTGTAGGTGGGTGTGAGTGTGTGGGTGAGGGTGAGTGTGTGTGTGAGAGTGTGTGTGAGAGTGTGGGTTACGGTGTGCGTGAGTGTGTGGGTGAGAGTGAGGGTGTGGGTGAGGGTGTGGGTGAGGGGGTGTGTGAGTGTGTGGGTGTGGGTGACGGTGTGGGTGAGTGTGTGGGTGAGGGTGTGGGTGAGTGTGTGGGTGAGGGTGTGGGTGAGAGTGTGGGTGAGGGTGTGGGTGAGTGTGTGGGTGAGGGTGTGGGTGAGTGTGAGGGTGTGGGTGATTGTGTGGGTGAGAGTGTGAGTGAGGGTGTGGGTGAGTGTGAGGGTGAGGGTGTGGGTGAGGGTGTGGGTGTGGGTGAGGGTGTAGGTGAGGGTGTGGGTGATTGTGTGGGTGAGAGTGTGAGTGAGGGTGTGGGTGAGTGTGTGGGTGAGGGTATGGGTTAGTGTGAGTGTGAGAGTGAGGGTGTGGGTGAGTGTGAGGGTGTGGGGGAGGGGTGGGTGTGGGTGAGGGTGTCGGTGAGGTTGTGGGTGAGGGTGTGGGTGATTGTGTGGGTGAGAGTGTGAGTGAGGGTGTGGGTGAGTGTGTGGTTAAGGGTGTGGGTGAGGGTGTGGGTGAGGGTGTGAGTGAGGGTGTGGGTGAGGGTGTGGGTGGTGTGATAGTGTGATATTATGTGAGTGTGCGTGCGCGCGCGTAGTGTGTGAGAGTGAGCTTGGTGGCGCGTTTGTGTAAACTAGGGAGTGTGAGTATGAGTGAGGGTTTGTGTGTGTGTGTTTGGAAATAGTGTGTGTGGTGGGAGAGTGAGTTTGGCTGTGAGTGTGTATGTATGTGAGAGTGAGTTTGGGAGTGTGTGAGTGTGAGTGAGTGTGTGAGTGTGCGTTAGGTAGGGGTGGGTGGGGTAGGTGAGTGTGTAAGAGTGTGAGAGAGTGAGGGAGTGTGAGTGTGTGGGAGTGTGTGGGAGACCGTATGTATGTGTCCCTGAGCGAAGGTATGAGAGTGTATGAGAGAAAGTGAGAGGGTGTGTTAGAGTGTGAGCGTATTGGAGTGTGTGAGTATATGAATGTGTGAGCGTGTGAGTGTGTGAGTGTGTAAGTGTGTGAGTGTGTGAAGGTGTGCGTGTATGTGAGTGTGTGAGGGTGTGAGTGTGTTAGAATGTGTGTGAATCTGTGAATGTGTGAGTGTGTGAGTGTGTGAGAGAAAGTGTGTGAATGTGTGAGTGTGTGAATCTGTGAATGTGTGTGTGTGAGGGTGTGAGTGTGAGAGTGTGTGAGTGTGTGAGTATGAGAGTGTGTGAGTGTGTGAGAGAAAGTGTGTGAGTGTGTGAATGTGTGAGTGTGGAGTGTGTGAGTGAGTGTGTGGGTGTGAGAGTGTGAGGGTGTGAGTGTGTGAGTGAGTGAGTGTGTGAGTATGTGAGTATATGAGTGTGTGAGTGTGTGAATGTGTGAGTGTGTGAGTGTGTGAAAGTGTGTGTGAGTGTGTTAGAGTGTGAGTGTGTGAGTGTGTGAGTGTGTGAAAGTGTGTGTGAGTGTGTTAGAGTGTGAATGTGTGAGTGTGGAGTGTGTGAGTGAGTGTGTGGGTGTGAGAATGTGAGGGTGTGAGTGTGTGAGTGAGTAAGTGTGTGAGTACGTGAGTATATGAGTGTGTGAGTGTGTGAATGTGTGAGTGTGTGAGTGTGTGAGTGTGTGAGGGTGAGTGTGTAGGGTGTGATTGTGTGAGTGTGTGAGTGTGTGAAAGTGTGTGTGAGTGTGTTAGAGTGTGAGTGTGTGAGTGTGTGAAGGTGTGAGTGTGGGGGTGTGTGAAGGTGTGAGTGGGGGTGTGTGTGAGGGTGTGAGTGAGTGAGTGTGTGAATGTGTTAATGTGTGAGGGTGTGAGTCAGAGAGGGTGTTAGAGTGTGAGTGTGAGTGTGTGAGTATTTAAGCGTGTGAGTGTGTGAGTGTGTTAGAGTGTGAGTGTGTGAGTGTATGTGTGAGTGTGTTAGAGTGTGAGTGTGTGAGTGTGTGAAGGTGTGAGTATGGGTGTGTGTGAAGGTGTGAGTGTGGGGGTGTGTGAGGGTGTGCGTGAGTGAGTGTGTGAATGTGTTAATGTGTGAGTGTGTGAGTGAGTGTGTGAGTGTGTGTGTGAGTGTGTGAGTTTGTGAGTGTGTGTGAGTGTGTGAGTTTGTGAGTGTGTGAGTGTGTTAAAGTGTGAGTGTGTGAGTGTGTTAGAGTGTGAGTGTGTAAGCGTGTGAGTGTGTATGAGTGTGAGTGAGTGTGTGTGAGTGTGTGAGGGTGTAAGCGTGTGAGTGTATAAGCGTGTGAGTGTGTGTGAGTGTGTGAGTGTGTGTGAGTGTGTGAGTGTTTGAGTGTGTGTTAGAGTGTGAGTGTGTGAGTGTGTGTTAGAGTGTGAGTGTGTGTGAGTGTGTGAGTGTATAAGCGTGTGAGTGTGTGTGAGAGTGTGAGTGTGTGTGAGTGTGTGAGTGTTTGAGTGTGTGTTAGAGTGTGAGTGTGTGAGTGTGTGATGGTGTAAGAAAGTGGGTAGCTGTGTTGGTGATATCACGTGCGGGGAGCAGTTGCCTAGCGGTTAGTCCGTGCGCACTCGAGTTCAATTATCTGAACTAGTGCTGAGACCTCCCTAGCACTAGTATAGTGGTGTGTAAAAGTCACCAATGGGGAGACAAAGGCGGCCTGGAGTGGCGCTGGCCACCCAACCCCTCGTGTGCCGTTCATAGGTGCTCGCTAACAGCAATTACCACAACAGTCTGTTAAGACTACAGACTATAAATTTGTCTTTGTGATGAGTGTGTGTGTGTGTACACGTGTGATGTGTGTGCAGGTGTGTGTGTGCATGACCAAGTGTGGGTTTGTGCAGGTGTGTGGATGCAATCGTCCATGCGTGTGTATTTTGTGTGTGCGTGTGTACGTATACCGGAGTGTATGTTTAAAAAGTGTGTGTGTGTGTAATGGCTGTGTGTTGATTGTGAACGCATGTGTGTGAAAGCGTGTTTGCACAAGTGTGTGCAGCTTCCGTTTGGCCAGATCGAGGGGGCTAAACGGGCGCGGCACGGGCTGGAGAAGAGATGGAGCTGATGCGGTACAGGAGGATTTGGAGCTGAGTGGACCGGCTGATGACTGGTACCAGTGGTGTCAAGATCGGCCTCTGTGGAGGAGGCTCGTGAAGGACGCTGCTGGG